CTGTGGCCTTGATGGAGAGAAGGGAGACAAGGTACAGAGGTAAAAGTTAGTGTGGGGACCATGGTATCTGGTACCCAAGACTGACCCCAAACCTGATGCCTGTAGGGAGAAGCTGGTCTTCCTGGCCGTCCAGGGCTGGTAGGACGAAAAGGAGAGATGGTGAGTATGAGGAACACCCAGAATGAGGAGGACCAAGTGGGCCAGGTGGGATACGGCTGGGCCAGGGTCTAAGCTCTGTTTTCTTTTCTCCAGGGGGAGCCTGGTATGCCAGGCCAGTCTGGGGCTCCTGGCAAAGAGGGCCTGATTGGTCCCAAGGTACAGGATCTCTTGAGTGGTCATGATGGGGAGTCAGGATGGGGCAAGGAAAGCTACAATAGGGTGATGAGGGTTTAAGGTCAAGGAAGGTTGTAGAGGGTTCAGGTGTTGGGGGATGGTGTGGGGCTAGTCGTGAGATTTCAGGATGGGCAAGGATCACAGTGGAGAGTTTAGATGAAAAAGTGGAACATGGAGCAGAGGTTCATGTATATCAGGGTGGTGGGTTATAGAGGGGTTGGTGTCATGGGGATCACAGCTGGTAATCACAGATGCTCAGATCATGGAAGGTTGTAAGCATTGAGCCTGGGGACTCATGGGAGTTTGGGGAGGTTCAGGATCTGAGGGAGGTCAAGGCAAAGTGTCTCTTATGTTTCTTCTGTTCCCAGGGTGACCGAGGCTTTGATGGACAGTTAGGACCCAAGGGTGACCAGGGTGAGAAAGGAGAGCGGGTAAGTCAAGGTCAAGATCATGGTAAACTGAGGAGAGCATGCTCAGTTCATCTTTCAAGATTTTTATTACTGACCCTATCCCATCTCTCTTCAGGGATCCCCAGGAATTGTGGGTTTTCCAGGTCCTAGGGGCAATGATGGTGCTAGTGGTCCCCCAGGGCCACCTGGTGGTGTTGGTCCCAAAGGCCCTGAAGGACTTCAGGGTCAGAAAGTAAGAGTTCTTGACTGAATTCTCTGACTCCTAAGCTCTGAACCTCCCTACCCTTTTGTTTTTGGTATGGGGGAGTGGTGCTAGGGATTGAACCCAGGGCTTCACATATGTTAGGCAAGTACCCTACCACTGAGCTACATTTTTAACCCTCCCTACCTTTCCTACCTCTCGGACTTCTGACTTTGCAACCCATTCCCCAGTCTCCTTGCCCCAACCTCTGAAGCTGTGATCCCAAATTTGCCTGTTTTCTGACCCTTACCAACTCTGGTCTTGCTCACTTGATCCTTGTGTCTGGCAGGGTGAGCGAGGTCCCCCTGGAGAGAGTGTGGTAGGGGCCCCTGGGGCTCCTGGGACCCCTGGTGAGAGAGGAGAGCAGGTAAGTGGGATTTCTAGGCTCGAGGTCAAAGATTGGGGTGACCCTGATGTCCCTGAACCTGAGGTCACAGCCTATTCTTATCTGTTGCACATAGGGGCGGCCAGGGCCCATTGGTCCCCGTGGAGAGAAGGGAGAAGCTGCATTGACAGTAAGTGTGGGTCTATGTGGGCTAGGGCTCTGTCTCCACACCCAACACCCTGAGCCCCTGGACCCTAGGCTCCTGACTCTTTTTGACCCCTGCATTATGTGCCTGATGTCACTTCTGTGATTCATGGGTTCTTCATGGTCCTTGTGGTCTTGTCTCCAGGAGGATGACATTCGGGGCTTTGTGCGTCAGGAGATGAGTCAGCATTGTGGTGAGTGAGCCTAGCCTGGAGTCTCTGGTACCCTGTCCCACTCTGTCCCAGGACACCTAGATAGGGGCTGACAGGTCCCCAATACTTACAGGAGGCAAGTGTCAAAGAGATGAGTTGAGATGGATAGGTATTCAGAAGGGCACACATACTGTAGGACAGGATGCTGACAGAAATTCTCCCAATGATGAGAGATGCGCAGCAGATGTAGATAGCCACAAAGTTGAGGATTTCAGAGTCGCCATGTGTGGAGGGAATAGAGGAGGGAGCAGAGGTGGTCCCACTGGCTCTGACACAAGCCAGGCAGCGATGAATTTGGGAACATCAGAGTGAAGCTCTGCTCTTCCTCTCTTTCTCTTTGTAATTTTTTTAATATTTATTTTTTTAGTTGTAGTTGGACACAATACCTTTATTTCACTTATTTGTTTTTATGCGGTGCTGAGGATTGAACCCAGGGTCTCGCATGTGTGAGGCGAGCGCTCTACCACTGAGCCACAACCCCAGCTCTGTAATTTTTTGATTAATTCTTTTGTTTGTACTTTTTCCTCTTTTTTTTTTTGCAGCTGCATTTATTGTCTATGCCTACCTGTTTCTGTCTCCCTCTATTCTTGCCCTTTGTTGACCTTTTCCCAATTTCTCATTCCTGTCTACTTCTCCTCTATCTTTCTTCCTCTTTCTCCCTCTTTTCACTCTCTCTCTTTGCCTCCTTCTCTCTATCCTTCTACCTATCATTCTCTCTATTGGTCCTTTTATCACTGTCTCTCCTGCTGTTTCTCTGTACATCTCAATCTCCCTCTGTGTGTGTGTTTGTGTGTGTCTTCCCATCTTTCTTTTGTCTCTTTCTCCCTTCATCATTGTCTCTTTCTACCCTTTTCAGCCTGCCAGGGACAGTTTATTGCATCTGGATCACGTGAGTAGTTTTCTGTGCCTAGAACTTTCTTCACCCTAGGTCCTGCCCTGTCTATCACCTGGGGAGTGGCTGGTATGGCCGCTCATGATGACCCCACGTGTCATCACTTGTTCTTTGCTCCAGGACCCCTCCCTAGTTATGCTGCAGACACAGCTGGCACCCAGATGCACAGGCCAGTGCCTGTACTCCGTGTCTCTCATGTAGAAGAGGAAGGTGAGAATGACTGGACCATGGGGCATGTATGGATGGAACATGGACATGTATCTAGGTGCTCATGCATGCAGAGCACATGCCATGCACATAGGGTCCACATGCAGGGCATATGCATGGATACCCTTATGCACACAGGGGGAGATTAGTGCTGCCCACACTACCCCAGGGCCAGCAGCTTCTCCCTCATGGTATATCCCACTGTGCTGTAGACCAAGTGCCCCCTGAAGATGACGAGTTCTCAGAATACTCTGAGTATTCTGTGGAGGAATACCAGGACCTTGAGGTTCCTTGGGATGGTGATGGTGAGAATGAGGGATGTGCCTAGAGGGGTTCAGGTAAGGGCAGGTGGAGCCATTCCCTGCTGGCCTCTCATTGATCCCCATTGACCCCAGACCCCTGCTCCCTACCTCTGGATGAGGGCTCCTGTACTGCCTTCACCCTGCGCTGGTACCATCGGGCTGTGCCAGGCAGGACAAAGGCCTGTCACCCCTTTGTCTATGGTGGCTGTGGAGGGAATGCCAACCGTTTTGGAACTCGTGAAGCCTGTGAGCGCCGCTGCCTGCCCCACGTGATCCAGAGCCAGAAAACAGGTAGAGGCTTAGCCCCACCTCAGCAGGGAACTGGGCCCTGAGGATCAAGGTCATGAGTGAGAAGCTCCCTCAGAGTGGGGGACCTGGGATGGACCCCCCAGATGAAAGAACTGAATACAGAACCTCAACTGTAGAACTCCCATTATGGTCCCTCTCCATGTTCCCTTCTTTAAAGACCTGAGTATGGGTCCTTCTCTGAGTCAGGGCCCTACCTACTGCTAGGCTTCTGGTCCCCACACCACTCCCTATCCCGCCAGAAGATGTTTTGCCATGTTTCTCTGTGGTCTGCATACTGTGTAAGGAGGTCAGGGGCTGAAGACAGTCTCTAACCTGCTCCACCCAGGTGCTGCCCAGAGTTGATGAGCTGCTGTTTAGTGTCCCCTGGAAGAATCTGGATCTCAACAGGTCCTGCTGTCCCTCCCTTTGGTGCTAGAGACCTCTGTGCACATGAGCGTGTGTGTGCATGTCCATTATTTCAGTGACTTGGTCCTGTGGGTCTAGCCTTTGTCCCTATGGACAAACCCCCATTGTGGCTCCTGCCTCCCTGGTGGATGACTCACCATGGGGGGTGGCTATGGGCAGTGAGCGGATGTGACTTGCGTCTGACCCTCCCCTTGACCCAAGCCTGTGATGCCATGGTGCTGATTCTGGGGGGCATTAAAGCTGCTGTTTTAAAATGTCCTTGTTATGACTTCTTGGGGGTGATGTTGTGGGGGGCATATTTTCCCTCGGGGGAGTCAGTATTGCATGAATACAAAGTCCTGCTGCACCGCCATGGTCATTTTCCTGTGACCCTCAGAAAGAAGCAGATAAAGATGTGTCCTTACTGCTTGCTAGGAGGGGATGAGTCATAGGTGGGGGCTGCCTCATGCCAGGAAACACCCACCTCCCACCACAGTGGGCTAGTGGAGATAAATGGGCCCAGAAGTGGAGCAGAGGGTCAGAACATAGGATAGCATCGCCTGATCCCAGCCCCAGCAGCCATAGACATCGCAACTTACCCCAGAGGAAGCTGTCAGTGGTAGGACTGGTGTTGGGTCGGGAGAGGTCTTGGGGGTTGAGTGGTCCTTGGGTTCAAGTTCATGGAGATATATGGACCTGGGAGGGTCTGAGGTCTCCAGCTGCTTCTCTGCCTCAAGGATTCCCATTCCTACTACTTCTTCTTAAATCAGCTGTCTGTTTTTCTGACTCTGAATCTGTTTCCATCATGGTGTCTCTGGATGGTTTCTGTCTCTGTCTTTTCTTCCAGTCTCCTATTTTGCTCTGCCTTCATCTCATTCATCTCCCTTTCCTTCTCCTTTCACCCCTCTTTTGTGTTTTTGATTTCTCTCATTCCCCTTTTCAATCTTTCTGTCTGGGGGCCCCCCTTCTCTGTTTAGCTCTGTCTTGATTTACTCTAGCTTTCTTCTCATCCCTTTATCTTTGTCTCTGACTGACTTTCTCTCTGTCCCTGGCCTGGCCTCCCTGTCTGTCTCTTTGTCTCTTCCTCTCTCTCTCTCTGCTCTTGCCATCTGTTTCTGTCTTTTAACCATAGTTGACAGAGCCCCTTCCCTGAGCCTGTTTTCTCCTCACAGCCTGACCACATGATGACCAGGTGGGCTCCGCTGGTGCTGATGGTCCTGATGTTGGGCAGAGTCATGGTTGTTTCAGTGACCCCTATCCCAGCCTTCCAGATTCTTCCTCAGAACTATTCCCAGACCACTCCTTTCTCTGTGTCCTTGAAGAGCCCCTCAGCTACTGCCACAAGTCCCTCAGCTGCCTGGAGCTACTCAAGCCCTGTACCCCGCCTTGGACCACGTATCGCCCTCTCACTGGATGTCCCCATTGGCCTCCTACAGATTTTACTGGAGCAGGCCCGGGCCAGGGCTTCCAGGGAGCAGGCTGCAACCAATGCTCGCATCCTGGCTCACATTGGCCGCCGCTAAGCCTGAGAGAGAGAGGGTTATAATGATGGGGTTGGTCTGGATGGAAAAACATAGAGGATGGCAACAGAGCTGGATCATACTACATCTGGGCAGAGTGCACTTGAACACCACTGTAATAGGCCACTGCCAAGTAGTGTCTTATCCCATCTGAGTGTACCACAGTCAGGGGCTCTGGACACCTTGGACATTGTTGTATTGATGTCTTGCCATGCCTGTGTACTCTACAGACTTACAGTATGTTTGGAAAGTTTGAACAGTACCATACAAGGTCACTGCCAAGTACAATATTGCTATGTCTTGGTGCTCCACAGTCACAGGGCATCTGGACATTATTACATGGGGTAACCATCATGTTATATTCAGAAGCCTCAAAACAAGAAACGAATACTGCATCTGAGACCAGTCCATCTAAGGCCTACAGGTTTTTCCCCCTCCTAGGCCACCACACATGGAAGTGCTGGCTGAAGTTTACATACATGTGTTCTGCTTCATGAGGCAGCTTCTATCCCAGATAGATACGACTGTACACAGAAAGTCTGACCATTGTGTCTTACCTTGTGGGTGTCTGTGCACGTGTGGCTGAGTCTCTATGTGCTGCCTTTTACAAACAAAGCTCTGACAGCTGAGTATGTGAGCAAGATGTGTGTGTGGGGGTGTAAGAGAACAGGGAGGAGTGGGTACTTGTCCCTCAAACCTGCATGAAGCACACGTACCACATAACTTGGCATTGTCTTTCACATACCCAGTTTTGATTCTTGGAAACAAAGACTCGGGAGAGGCGGCTTAGTCTGCCAAGCTCCAATCTAACTCTATCCAGTCCTTACTGAATTATCCTGAGCAAAGGTGTTCTGTAAAGCAGAGTGATGCCACCAAGCTTCTTGGGAGCACTGAGTGACATAGTGTACATGAAGGTTGTGGCTGCAAGAGGCACTCAATAAACATCAAGTGATTGAAGGATGGGATGGACAAGAATCACACAGTCATGTGCACCCATGCAGTGACGCAGGAGGGTTGAGTCACACCTAGCTTTTCTGTCCTTTTGTCCACCCTCCTTCACCACCCTCTTTTAACTGATTTGGTCCCTTAGTTTGGAAGTAGGTTTTGCCTATTTCACATCTTCTACTCCATTACTGACCTAGAGCTAGGACTGACTTCCTGGGTGCGAGGACAGGCCTGCCTGAGGATGGGGCAGGCACTCCAGGCAAGGTAGACAACTCCACCGAAAGACAAGGGAAGCTCTTGGGAAGTAAGGGCAGCTCTGACTGGAAAGAGGCAACACTGGCCAGCCAGAGTGTGGCTGCCGGCCTGGATGGGGCCCCCAGTGTCAACCTCACAGTACTAAGCAGCCCTGGCAGGCGGGCCCAGGGCCGCTGGAGAGGCGGGGCTGCTGTACTCTGAGCCTGTCAGAGGGCGGGGTTGCCCTACTCTTCCCAAGCCGCAGGGGGCGGTGGCCCTGGTCAGTTCGGAGACAGGATGGACACAGGCACGTTAGGAGGCAGATCTCTGACCGACCCGGGGCTGGGGAGCAGCGGGCAGGGTAGGCACGGGGCAGTGTGGGGAGTGTGGGGGGAATGGGAAAAGACCTGGGCACAGCGAGGGTGGTACTGGAGGGGATATGAGAGTGTTGGGATTTTCCCCTTGGTTTAGGGGTGCTCTGAGGAGGCATCAGTCTGTCACTGGCCTGGAGGCAGGGAAACACTGTTGCTTTGCAGGGGAGATGGGGCTGGGCCAAGGGGGAGCTATAAATAGTGTCTTCCTTTAGTCCAGGGGGGAGGGACAGCCAGCTGGAGCTGCCTGAGGCCCTCCCACTTTGCCCCTTGCTGGCCTCAAAGGGGTCATATTCTTCTACCTCCCTTTTAAGGGGTCATCCAATTTGGGGAGGACTAGAGGCTCATTTGGGAAGTTTTTCATATGATGTGGCTTTAGCTATTAAACCAGCATTTCTAGGGCAACTACCATGTGCTTGAGCTGGTCCTGAGCTTCTGAAAGCACCTACTGTGTATTCTGTTTTGCTCATGTCTCTCTGGGCCCTTTCTCTGTGCCCTGACTTGTCTCAAATTACTTTGAGCACTTACTGTGTGCCCTGTGCTGGAGTGGAATCAGGAAGTACAGATCAGAGTTCATAAGCTGCTTCTTACATGGTTCTATACCCCCAAGTAAGACCCTCACACTCTGTGTGCTCTGGGCTACTGGGGACAGTCCCTTCTGGAAATGGCTAGAAGAGGCCAGGATTCCTAAGGACCTCCACCCCCCCAGCAATGGCAGCATTAGGTGAGGGAATAAAGAGGAAGGGAGGCAGCAGAGAGCAGCAGGCCCTGCTACAACTTGCCTGTCCCTATATACATGCCTGGGTACAGGGCTTGTTGGTACGTGTGCTTCTGCATGTGCATATGCAAGCTTGTGTGCACTGGCGTGTGAGTCTGTGTGGCATGCATTGAGCCTGCCCCCCATCCTTATGCTGCGAACGGTGGCATATTGGTTCCACCAGAATTCAGCAACAGATAAACAGACTGGAAAGAGTATGAGCCTTGAGAACTATGGGTTGAAGACTTTAGCCACACCCCACGGCTTCTGGCCTGTGACACTGGGAGGGGGTTTGGTGGTCAGTGCAGAGGGGGCACCCTGGGAGCCAACTGGAATCAGGTCAGTTATGTTCATGGTGGGGAGAGGCTGAGCCAGACATGTTCACCTATGAGTACACAGTGATATCCCAGCACACTTCCCATACCTGAGACAGGAAAGCTGGCACACTTTGGGATGCCCTGAGGAAGGAAAAGTCATGAGGACCAGTTATTTTATGGGGTACCTACTGATCCTGGGAGATGCAGAGAGCCAGGAGAGAATTTCAATGAAGTGAACAACCAAGAGCCTGGGTGTGGAGGTTCAGCAATAGTGTAAAGGTGTGGGAGGTGAGGTTTTGAAGGCTGGGAATTGAGCTAAGTTCTTCCTGCATTGTGGACTGGCTCTTGGACAGACCATCAATTTTCTACCTAAGAAATAAGGCCATGGGAGGGGAGATGGTGATTACCTTCAGAGTAGATGTAGACCTTGGCTTTGGGAAGGGCCCTAGACCCTGACATTGACCTCCCAGATGAGTATATGGACATGGGAGGATGTGTCTGGGTCAGCCCAAGGTCAGCTGGGGAAGTGTGGGAGTTTACAGAGCTAAGGTGTTTCCTATGAATCAGGCTCATACTGTCTGGATGTAGAAATAGTCCTAGTTGCTTTGTCTTCCCTGGCTGTTTCCACTCCCTGCTCTCTACTAACATCCAGGAAGGCTACAGAAGAAGACAGAAGGCAGGCCTCAGGAGGTGCCTGGTGTTAGAGGAGACAGTCTCTACAATGAGTGTTGGACAGAATATGGGTGTGTGGCAATGATGTTTCGTTAGCCAGGATTGCCCCAAGATGGCCTTGGCAGTGGCCAGGCGAAAGACAGGAGAGCTGGCTGTGTCAAGAACAGAATGAGTGGCTTTGGGGAACTAGGAAGCAGGTGGATGATCACAAGAGCCCTGGAGGGGAATGGGTGATGGAAAATGCAGCTGGAGAATGAGGAAGGAGGAAATGGTGGACCCTGCTTCAGGCAGGGCATTCCCCAGAGTAGGCAGCTAGAGCTGGTTTCAGGCAAGGTCCAGGTAGGCTTCCAGCATTTAGACCTTCTGAACCTTCATTTCCTTAAGTAGGCAAGATGTTTGTTATCAGTCATCTCAAGTCATGGAAGAAGGTGCAGCATGAACTGACAATGAGGTCAGCTTTGTTCTACATGCCCAGATCTTCTGGCTGAGTACACTGGGCAGAGAACTTCAGTTTGCAGGGACCCTGCTAGGGATGTGATGGTGGACATCACTAGAGGGCAGTGTGATCTAGGTTCAAGCCATATTTGTGAGGGCTAGGGCAGAAAGTGTCCCAAATTTGGACAGGCAGGGTTGGCAATCAGAGGAGGCAGGAGCCTGAAGGGGCTGGGCGGGTGCCAAACACATGAGAGTCAACCAGAAGGTTTCCCGAATTTCTGGATCTCTTCCTTGCCGCCTGCGCATTTGCAAAGACAGGAAGGAGATAAATAATATACTGAATCAGAACACTAATTTGTTTTGGAACAGAATTCTCAGAATGATTTGACACATTTAGTCTACACCACAATCTCTTAAGATTAATGACCAGCGCACCCATTTTCCTGATGAAGAGGAAGAAGCTATTTAAATTATTTTAAAAATGCATAAACTTACGATGAACATTTAATTGGTAAAAATGAAATCCTGGCAAGAGAATTAAGATGTGGCCAGGGTTTAGTGAATCCTCAAATAACTCAGTCACAAGATCCTGCGCATTTGCTCTAGGAGGGCAGGAGTTTAGTTTGTGCTCCCCAATAGCCAAAACCAAGAGAGAAACTCCATCGATCCTGAGATCTGTCATGTGTCTCTGTGCATAGGATAAAGGAGCTCTTCCTGCGGCGAGGAGGAGGTTGGTTTTATGGACCGGGGAGAATCTCAAGGCTCGAGCCAGACCAGGTGGTTCAGCGCAGGACCAGGAGGGCGGGGCAATTAATGGCAGGGACAGCGGACCAGGGGTTGGAGTCACGCGGAAGCCGCCAGGCTTGTTCAGATTAACCCGGCCCTGCAGATCATGCAAGCCTCGCTGTATTGCGCGCAAACACTTCCCTCCTAGGGGCCTGGAGGTCAAACTCAGCAGGAAGCGGAAGCCCTGCTTGCCGTGAAGGCGGGGCTTAAATTCCCTGGGAGGGGATCAGGGAGACCCACAGAAATCAGCAGAGCGTGATAGGTTCGCGCATCCGGGGCGGGGCCTGCATAATCCGGGCATTGGGCCTGGTGGAAATTGAGCATGCGTATTCTCGGGGCGTGCTTGGTCCAAAAAAAAAAAAAAGGACTGTTGGAGAGGTGGGCATGCGTAGTCGGAGCCTGGTCCTTCTGTTAGGGTGGAGCTTATTCATTTGGGGGCGGGACCCGAGGGAAGACTGAATAGCGTTGTCGCGGCTCGAAGAGGGGCGGAGCCTGAGGGGCGGGACCTCGGGTGGCCCGAGGTGGCCTGGCTGCTGGGTCCTCAGCGGCGCAGTCCGACTAGTCTCGGCCCGGGGATGGCGTCCCCACGGGAACTGACCCAGAACCCACTGAAGAAGATCTGGATGCCGTACAGCAATGGGAGACCTGCTCTGCACGCCTGCCAACGTGGTGGTGAGGGGAGGGAGGTGCACCGGGATAGGTGGATAGAGGGCTTGGGTGGGAGTCTCTCGTGGAGAGGGAACAGGGGACTGGTGGGGAACCGGCACAGGCTATTATAACTGGTGGGAGGAGTCGGGGTTTGTGGGGGAGTTGGGGACGGTTGAAGAGGCGTGACAGTGGTGGGCTGAAGTGTGGTGGAGCAGGGAGTGGGTTCAGGTGTGTGGGGCTATTTCTGCTTGATAGGGTAGGTCTGGCCACCCTATCGGGGAAGGGACTGGCTTCTTTGCTCCCCATTCTGTACCCAGGGCCTTCCGCTAAGGGAGTACTTCGTGGAGAACTGAGCTGTGTGGCACTAGGAGAATCACTTGGCCTCTCTGAGTCCGAATTTTCAAAGGCCTAAGTATGGGCTAGTCCTCCAGAAGGAGAATGGGTGCTCCTTGGCCTTAATACCACGTTTTGGGAGGAGCTTTAGGGAATTACAAAGATGGGTCCATTATGGCATAGTGGTCTTATTGCCTCTATGACAATAAGACCACTATGCCATAATGGACCCATCTTTGTGTCCATGGGATGTAAGCATCCACATGTTTTATAGGTGAATAGTAAAACGCAAGAGAGGAACATCTAGAAGATAAGCTGAAATTTGTGGAATTGCTAAGGGACACCTCTCCTGGAGTCCTGGATCTGCAGCTTTTTGTTACCAAGGAAAAGAAAGATTTGTTTTAGGAGTAACTGAAATATTGTAACAGATTAGCAACTTGGCAAGGATCTCAGAGGACATCTAGTTCAACCGGTGGTGCAGATATGGAAATAGATATTGGGAGATTGTCTGATGTGCCATGGTCTCCCTGAACTCCTGATCTCTGCTTGTGTGTGATAAGGCAGGGAGGGGGATCCTCTGTGCTGATGCTGCCAGGCTAGACTGTGGCCATAGATTTGACAATAATGTGAGCCCTCCAGGAGAGGTTTGTGTGTACTTCTGATCATACTGTGAGTCCTGGTAAGGGGTGGCTGTGGTTTATAAGCTGATCAAGTTCTGATGGGGCCTTGGCCATTCAGGATTCTCATTTTAAGTCATAAGGGGCTATGGCCTCAGCCTGGCCAGCCCTACTTAGACTCTTTTGGAGGTGTGGTGGCTGAAACTCCTCTCTCTTATTCTTCTAACCAGCCTGTTAGGGCTGTGATGCTGACTAGGGGGCAGCTGCTATTATTTAATAAAGGGAAAGGAGTAAGAACCTTGATTTTGGAGGTGGGTATACTCAAGCTATTTACTGGCTGAGCTGTGTGGCCTTGAGCATGGAGCTGACCCTCCAGACTTTGGGATCCTTATCTATGCGAAGTGATAGTCATCATCTTTGATCTATGAAATGGCTGATTGACTGAGGGGTGTCCTTTGCTGCCATCACCTCCACTCACAGTTGGAAATTCTTCCCCTGCTTGATGAAATTCAGAGCCAATCCTGAGGGCCCAGAGGCTCTTACATTCCCCATCATTGGCCTCTTAGCTCAGACCCAGAGGAGCTCTAGGGTGGGGCAGGCAGGGCTAGGGATAAAGAGGGTCCCAGGGATCACAGCAGGAAGAGCAATTTTTCTGATGACTTTTCTCATCCAAAAGGTTGCAAAGTGACAAGATTCTTACTGTTTGAGGACAGGACCAGTGTGTGCAGAGGACAATAGGAGGAGAGAGGACTTTTTGTATAGAGGGCAATAGAAGGAGGGAGAGAGGATTTTTTGTCTTTCTGAATGGGACCACCATGCACTATGTGTGTGTGTGTGTGTATATATATATATATATATCTCACATATATATACAATATGTATATAATATATATGTTATAATATACATATGTTATAATATATATGTTATAATATAATATGTATATAATATACATATAGTATATATGTATATATATGTGTGTGTGTGTGTATATATATACACATGTATATATATGTGCTCCTGTCTTCCCTAATTTGCCCTAAGGAGGTAGGAGCAGGTACAGTTTCGAAATCTGTTCTAGACATTTGTGGCTCCCCTTTCAGTAGAAGTGCTTCTTGTCCTAGGCTTCTTATCTCCTAGAGCTCCTAGGACCTTCAGCAGATTTACAGGAAAGGCACCAGGGAGGGAAGCTGCTTATGTTCAGTGTTATAGGAAGTGTGTTTTGTTGTCCTGTTTGCTTAGTATCGGGGTCCTTGTGGGCTCAGAATTGCAGTTTTGTCTGCACACCCCAGCTCCTTTAGTCCGTGTGCTGTCTGTTTCAAGAACTGTAGTGTGTTTCCTTTTTATCATGACTGCAGTTTCTCCACTGCTGGAATTTCCCCAGCATTTTGCTGTTGTAAGCAGAGCTGCTATGAATATACTTGAACTTTGGTTTTCTTTGGGTCATTTCTTGTAACTTATCTTGAGGAGCAGAGATGATAGCTAATTTATTGCCTTGTTTTGTACTCTGGCTTGATTTGCTGGCCTGACTGCCCACCTTGCAAATTGATGGGAGAGGGGAAGGTGGATACTGTCACCAAATGATGTGGGAGGAAGTTCATGCCATGAGAAGAGGCCAGGGTCATCTCTGGGAAGACAGAAGATGTGAAGGGGCAGGGGATGTAGAAACACAATCCTGAGGTCATGGGATCTCCCCCACACACACCAAGAAGCAGTGGAAAGAGGTGGCCTAATCATGGATCCCTTCTGATTAGTGGCTGATGGTCTACCCTTGAGAACTATGGCTAGCCTGGCCAAGAATTGTGCAAACAGCACAGGGCCTCAGTCATCTGCTAGCCTGAGGATTCAGGACCTTGCCTAACTTGTATTTCTCTCATTTAGGCCAAAGCTGAGGTTTTTCTGCATGTTTCTTCACTTTTGCTTACTGTTGGTCTGTGGTCCCGTAGGGTTCCTTCCTTCCTTTCCCTGGGGTTTGCAGATTGGGTCACATGGCCTTTTGCACAAAGGCCATGCACAGGAGTGATGAAAAATCCACTGGCAAGCAGGGACCTTTACTTCTCTGTGGGTCCTTCCGGGGACCAGTTTGTTGCCTTCACATCCCAAGTCCCAAGTGCAGTTAGTGTCAAAGTACATCTGAAACTTAGCCTGGTGTGCTGCTGGGATGAGGTAGATAGCACAGCTTCCTGGAAGTGGTTTGGTTTGTACATGAGTTTAGTGCTGGACTTTGTTGAGGAATTTTCATCCCATTTCATGGTGGGGACACCAAGGCTCAGAGTTGCTGGTGTCAGAATCAAGATAGGAATCTCTGCCTGTCCAATTCCTGATTTCCAAGCTAAGCTAAGAGGCCCCCATGAAGGGGGCCTGGCAGTCTATCTAAGGAGGGTTACTTGTGAAGGCAATTGTAGAACCAAGTGGGCAGACAACGGGCAGTGACAGTTCCCTATATCTGTTCATCAGGCTATCTGCTATGGTTTTACTGGCCCAGGTCCTAAGGATGATGAAAGAGAAGCTCTCTGAGGCTTCTGAGGTGAGATTGAATTTGATCTCATTGAAAGCTGAGTTGGATCATATGAGGCTGGCCGTTCTGTGGCCTTGGTGTCTGTTCTAGCCAACTAAGGCTCAGAGGAGTGGCCCTTCCTTACCTCTAGCTAGCCTTGGCAACTTCTCAGGTTGGCACACTGACCTGTTGGCACATGATATCGTGGTGGACAGACTATCAGAAGGACTGTCCTTGTGGATATTGGTCTGGGATTTTATTTTTAGCCACTGGTGGCCCATCCCTGGTAGACTTCTAGATGCCTCCCTTCTCTTGCCCATATTTCTTAAACACCAACATGGTACCAGGCCTCAAGACCCTGAATGGCTCAGACACTGCAGACCTGCTTCTGCTCCAAGTGATCAGTTTAGAGAGGGTGATGGTGCACCAGGTGGTCATGAAAGTACCACAGAGAAAAGCTTGTTGAGAAAGCAGCTTTTAGTCTAGGCTTTGAAAAGAAATTCACCATAGGGCTGGGATTGTGGCTCAGCGGTAGAGCCCTCACCTAGCATGTGTGAGGCCCTGGGTTCGATCCTCAGCACCACATAAAAATAAATAAATAAAATAAAGATATATTTTAAAAAAAGAAAAGAAAAAGAAATTCACCACAGGGAGGGCAAAACTGTGAGGCTTGTTGAGAGCCACAGTTTAGTCGGAATGACGCCTGGCATTTTGCTAGAGGGAATGGTTGAAAGGTGACCCTGCTCCGGGAATAGGGTGGCTCTGGGATTAGGGCGGATCCTGCTGGGAATAGGGCAGCTCGGGGATTAGGGCGGATCCTGCTGCCTCGGGCGCCAGCCTCGGGCGCCAGAGTTGCTGTTTGAACCTACAAGGCTGTGTGGCGGCTGGGTTATTTTGTGCCCAGACAGACTGCGGCAGAGGCTGTATATGCTGACAGCACCGAATGATTGCTGGGATGGGGGGAACATGAGAATGTTAAGGTATGGATTCCTGGATGAGAGAGGCAGGCACTGAATACCCCTTGGGTCTTTCATGCAGCATGTCTGGTTGAGCTTTATAATTGCTGGTGCACATCAGAATGATAGCTGGTAAAATCCCTGTTGTGTCCACCAGAGCCAAGACAGTCCTGAGGAATAGGGATCTGCCAGCTTGAGACTGAGTGTGGGGTCTTCAGGGAGCTGTCTGATGCCAGGAGGCCTGGAAGGTACAGCTGATGCCAGTCCTGTGTCCTGAAGCTGAGAGACCACAGTCAGAGAAGGAGGGGCACACAGGAGGGGTCCTGGCTGTGTCTGACACTGTGTGCTGCTTTCCTTCCAGTTTGCATGACCAACTGCCCAACGCTCATTGTCATGGTGGGCCTGCCTGCCAGGGGCAAGACCTACATTTCTAAGAAGCTGACCAGATACCTGAACTGGATTGGTGTGCCTACTCGGGGTAAGCCTTCTCGAGGACACTGGGGGATATGTCGGGGAGGGGAAGAAGAAAGAGAAGGCCAGATGGTGGGGAAGGATCCTGGTCAGGAGTTGGTAGGTTTACTGTTCTGTGAAAGCTGAGCCTTTCCTTCCTCTCAGAATTCAACGTTGGCCAGTATCGTCGGGACATGGTCAAGACGTACAAATCTTTTGAGTTTTTTCTCCCGGACAATGAAGAGGGCCTGAAAATCAGGAAGTAAGTACATTGGGTATGGGGAAGCACTGTTGTTGAGAAGGCCAACAAATTATCACCTACTTGCTGAGAAGTCCTTGTAGCTTCTAGAGCCGAGCAGCTGGTGAATGCCTGAGCTGTTCCTGAGCCCTAGCCTTATTCTGCCTCAATGGCTGTGTTAAAGCCATTCTCTGGACCTCTGAGGATGTGGTGGGTTGGGATGTGATGGATCTAGAAACAAGAGGAAATGGTATATAGTCTCTTGGTGGCTGGCCCATTCCTACCCTGGTGTAAGGATCCTTGGTAAGGGCATCTTGTAAGACTACAGAAGCAGCTTCAGGGAGGGGAGAGATAGGTTAGAAGTGGCTGTGCTGAAGGACTACCACCCCAGGCCTTGCTGGTGGTGAGAGGAACCCTAGATGGTACAGAGATGGCCTCAGGGATAGAGCAGGGTGGGGTCTTTCCTCTCTTGCCCCAGAATAAGCACCTTCTGTATATTTAAAGCATGTTTGCCATGTGCTTGGCATGTTCTTGGCATCTGTGGGTCATGCTTGGCTTTGTTTTGAAGTGGCCTGTATGCTTCTGGGTGCGTAGTTCCCACTCCTACTCTTCTTAATGAGATAGAAATGTGCATATGATACCCTCATCCCCATTCAGACTTGAACTAAATAAACACTTTATCCAAGGAACTGAGCATGACTGCTGGTCTGAGGAGCTATGCTGTGCTCTTCTTGGCAGGTGTTATCAGGGTGATCAAGGAGCCCCTTGTCAAGCAAGGTGTAGTGGTACACACCCATAACCCAATGACTCATGAATCTGAGCCAAGAGGATAGCAAGTTTGAGACAAGACCCTGACTCAAAAAATTAAAAAAAAAAAAAAAAGACTGGGAATCTGGGGATGTAGCTTGTTGGTAGAGCACCCTGGATTCATTCCAATCCCCAGTACTATTAAAAAAAAAAAAAGAAGAAGAAGAAGAAAAAACACCTGAAGCCCCTGTCAGCCTAGGATGACAGAGACTTGCTTTGGGTTTTGGGCTCAGCCATTATGGTAGGGCAGTGAGCAGACATTGCTCAGCTCTAGTGACTTATCTAAATCAAACAACCTCAAGGTAGAAGTTATGAGGTTGCCCCCACAAACTGGCAAAGTGACGCCATGGTCTGGACACTAGGCTGTTTATGCCTTCTATGGCCACCAGGGGGCAAGATCTCCCTACTGTGGGACTTTGAACTTCAGGCCACTTTGTTCCTGCTTTATTAGGGCTGGGCCAGGCTGATTCACCAAAAAGAGGGGTCTGATGTTCAGGTTTTTGTGGCCAACTTGCAGGTAAAATACAAGGCAGGGCCCTCTGGTGATGTGGAGCCAGATAAAAGAAAGAGGACTGATTTTGAGCCTGAAGATCAAACAAATGGGAACTTTACTCTTAGGGTGAAAAAAATGAAAGTATAGATTAAAAAAAAAGTAATTTGTCTATATCTAGACCTTAAAGGAGAAATGGATAAAATAGGAAAGATATTTCTACATGCCAGTCCATATTGCAGCAATGAATAAAAGGGCTGAAATGTTCTGAAAATAGTGAAGTCAATAATCCATTATAGGTAAGGGTTACAAATTCCTGAGGGTCTTTGGACCTGGGCTGAAGGACAGAGATGGTGACATCCTCCTTCAGAAGGTGTGGTTTTGGAAGTTCTCTCTTCCAGAACAGGAAATTGAACATTAAGCTTGATATTGTTGGGGCTGAGGATGTGGCTCAAGCGGTAGCGCGCTCGCCTGGCATGCGTGCGGCCCGGGTTCGATCCTCAGCACCACATACAAACAAAGATGTTGTGTCTGATGAAAACTGAAAAATAAATATTAAAAATTCTCTTTCTCTTTCTCCCTCTCTCTCTTTAAAAAAAATAAAGTAATAATATAATATTAAAAAAAAAAAAAAGCTTGGTATTGCACTGGGAAAGTCATAATGTCTCTCTTCCCCCACCACCAGCCCCTGCATGTACACAAGAAAATGTCTTTTTTTAAAAGTACTTATTTTTTTTTTTTAAAGAGAGGAGAGAGAGAGAGAGAATTTTTAATATTTATTTCTTAGTTTTCGGCGGACATAACATCTTTGTTTGTATGTGGTGCTGAGGATCGAACCCAGGCCGCACGCATGCTAGGTGAGCGCGCTACTGCTTGAGCCACATCCCCAGCCCCTAAAAGTACTTATTTTGATAATCAGGGGAAAATGCATGACAGTTAGAAATCATGAATAAGGCAAAGTGGCAGCATGGATTTATACACAATGACATGATGAGGGCAAAGTACAGAAATGGTATTTAAAAAAAAATTTCTACTAACTGGGCATGGTGGTGCATGTTTGTAATCCCAGTGACTTAGGAGACTGAGGCAGGAGGATTCTAAGTTTGAAACCAGCCTCTGCAACTTAGCAAGTCCCTAAGCAACTTAGTGAGACCCTGTCTCAAAATAAAATGAAAAAGGGCTGAAGTGGTACACATGTGTAATCAGCTACTTGGGAGGCTGAGGCAAGAGAATCACTGTTCAAGACTAGTCTAGGCAACATAGTGAGATTCCTGTCTCAGGAAAAAAAAAAATCCAAATGTTCAGGAGTGCGTTTCACTAATTCTGCACCTTACAGGAGCAGAATTAGTGAAACACTAAAATTATTGCCAGGAAAAGAAGTGAAGCCTTGAAAAGTGAAGGAATCCTAGAGCTATCCCCCTTCCTATCTTGGATAGGGTAAGTTTCTGCATTCTCTTAGCTTGGGTAAGCTGCTGGGATGACCCTGTGTTTTTTCTCCTAAAGGCAGTGTGCCTTGGCAGCCCTCTGTGATGTCCGAAGATTCCTCAGTGAGGAGGGGGGTCATGTGGCGGTGAGTGTGAAATCCTGGTCACAGCTTGGAGTGAGACATGGGACCATATACATGTGTATCATCTACTCCTTTTCACATAAGGCATCTGGAAGGGGAGGTGGGGTGCATGTGCCCTAGATGCCTCTGGGTGCCAGCCTAAGGAGGAAGTTTGGGGTGGCTGTGAAGGATGAAGTTAGAGGAAACTCCTGGCCCAAGAGTTTTCCTCAGGGATTGTAACTGCATTTAACCCAAGAGGACTTCCCTTGGGAAGTCAGGGCTATCATTACACCTAAATTTTTGACACAAGTGATTTCTCCAGGTGTGGGAAGTCCTGCCTAGCATTTACTGCCTGTTCCAGGAACCAGCTGAGTCCCAGGAAGGAAATTCTACTATGTGGGGGCCCTTGCAGTAAGATGGAAGGGTGGGGCAAGTCTGAGCTAGGGTGTCAGCAGGGAAAGGCTCTAGCTCAGCCCTCTACTTCCAAACATGGGAGTTGTTCTTTCCCTTCTGCTTTCTACTTGGAGTTATTCCTCCTGGAGCTCTTTGTCCCCTGGCTTCAATATGGATAAAGTGCCTGTGGCACAGCTGTCACCCTGGGAGTTCTCTTCTCTCCTGGGTTGAATCCCCTGCTTCTAGATCTCATGTCTTCCTTAGCTTTGTTTACTGAGTTGCTTTGTTGAAGCACATCTTCCAGGAGCTTCCTAAGAAAGGTACATGAGGAGCTGGGTGTGGTGGTGCATGCATATAATCCCAGTGGCTTGGGAAGGGCTTGGGAGGCTGAGGCAGGAGGAACATGAGTTTAAAGCCAGCCTCAGCAACTTAGTAAGGCCCTAAGTAACTCATTGAGACCGTGTCTCTAAATAAAATATAAAACAGGACTGGAGATCTGGCTCATGGTTAAGCACCCCTGGATTTATTCCCCAGTACCAAAATATAAATAAATAAAAAAATAAAGAAAAGTAATTGAGAAGAAAAGTGTATGAAGGTTTGCATATCAGAAATGTCTTCTCCTACTCCCTGTCTCTCTTCTCTCCCCTCCCTTCCTTCTCTTTCTTCATCCTCACATTTCATGGTTGGGGAAAGAATTTTAGGTTACAAAAACTTTTTACAACCTTGTTTTAAAGCTTCTAGAGAGACCACACAGAAATCTTATGTTGTTGATTTCTTGATCTTTGTATAAGGTTCATCTATTGAAATGATCTGGGGACTTTTCATGCTCCTTTCCCTTTTGGAGAACTTTAGGTCTTCAAGGCAAAGGACCTTATGTTAGGTCTTCTCTCCTCTACCCTGTTGTCTTTTAGGGGGCCCTTGCCATATCTTCCATATCAGGGAAATTGTCATACATTATGTCTTTGATAAACCTGTGCTACTTTCTGGCAACTCATTTCTCAATTCTCCCATTTCTGAGCTGCTTTTTCTAGATTCCTGATGGCTACATGCTAAGCTTGATCCCTAATTTTGTTTCCCCACCTCATTTTCTCTGTCTTTTTTGTTTTGAGGCAGACTTCCTCAACATTATAAGTGGTTGAATATTTTTAAAATTTCAGGGTCTGGGAATGTATCTCATTGTTATAGAACTAGCCTAGTATATGCAAGGCCCTGGATTCAGTCCCCAGCACTACCAAAAAAAAAAAGGAAAGAAAATCAGTGATTATACTTTTCTTTTTCTCTGAGTAGTCCAGGGTTTTTTTTTTTTTTTTGAGGCGGGTTGGGGGTACAGGGATTGAACTCAGGGGCATTCAACCACATCCCCATATCCCGTTTTTTGTATTTTATTTAAGCAGGGTCTCACTGAGTTGCTTAGGGCCTCACTAAATTGCTGAGGCTGGCTTTGAACTCATGATCCTCTTGCCTCAGCCTCCCAAGCTGCTGGGATTACAGTCGTGCACCACCACATCTGGCAAGTGGTTCAGTTTTTAGAAGTTTGTTCTTGTTTTGTGGTTACTATATCCTTCTGTATCTCTCTTTGGGATTTTAAAAGATTTCTTTTTCTTTTTTTTTTTTTCCTTTTTGGTACTGGGGATTGAACTCGGGTACTTGACCACTGAGCCACATCTCCAGCCCTATTTTTTGGTATTTTATTAGAGACAGGTTCTCACTGAGTTGCTTAGCGCCTTTGCAGTTGCTGAGGCTGGCTTTGAACTCGCAATTCTCCTGTCTCAGCCTCCCAAGCCACTGGGATTACAGGCGTGCGCCTCCGTGCCCAGCTTTTTTTTTCTTTTTAATGTTTTCTTCTGTTCTATGTCCTGTTTTCATTTTCTTCAAGTACCTTTTTTTGTTTTGTTTTCTTTGATTTTCTGTTTGATTTTCTCTTTTTCTTTCCTTCTTTTTTTTTCAGTACTGGGTATTGAACCAAGGGACATTCAACCACTGAGTTACATCCTCAGTCCTTTAAAAATTTTCTTTTGAGACAGGGTCTCACTAAATTGCTGAGATTAGCCTTAAACTTTCCATCTTCTTGCCTCAGCCTCCCAAGTTGTTGGTATTATAGGCAGGTACTTGGCTAGTCTTTGTTTTTCTTTTATTTCTTTCTTTTATTAGAGCTTTAGAGTTACACGTGGTAGTTGTTCATCCTGACAAACTCATACATACATGGAAATTATTTCAGTTCATGATCCTCCCCCTTTTCCCTTCCATCCTCCCTCCCCTTTTCCATTTTTCTTCCTCTACTCTGCTAGACTTCCATATTATATTAATTTATTTTTGATTGGTTCTTTACATTATCCTATTCTTCCCTCCCCCTTGCTTTTATTTTATTTGAACTTCCACATATGAGACAAAATATTTGATTTTTGAGTTTCTGAGTTTGGCTAATTTCACTTAGCATGATATTCTCCATTTTCATTCATTTACTGGCAAATACTATTATTTCATTCTTTTTTATGGCTGAATAGAACTCCATTACTGCAGTGTGTGTGTGTGTGTGTGTGTACATATGTATATATGTTAAGAAATTGTGACATATGTATATATTACATATATATTGTGATATATGGATATATGTATATGAAATATGAATGCTCAACAAATTTTGAAAAAATGTTCAACATCTCTAGCATATATATATATATATATATATATATATATATATATATATCACAGTTTCTTAATCCATTCATATATTGACAAACATCTGTGTTGATTCCATAATGTAGCTATTGTGAATTGTGCTGCTATAAACATTGATGTAGCTGTATTGCTGTCATATACTGATTTTAGATTTTTTGGGAAGATACTAAGGAGTGGGTTAGCTGGTCATATGGTGGTTCCATTCCTAGTTTTTTTTTTTTGATACTGGGACACTCGAACACTGAGCCACATCCCCAGTCCTATTTTTTTAGAGACAGGGTCTCACTGAGTTGCTTAGCACCTCACTTTTGCTGAGGCTGGCTTAGAATTTGCAATCCTGCTGCCTTACCTTGAGAGCCACTGGGATTATAGGCATGCACCACCTGCCCATCCCATCCCTAGTTTTTTGAAGAATCTTCATATTGCTTTCCAGAGTGTTTGTATTAGTCTATAGTTCCACCAGCAATGTACATGTATACCTTTTCCCCTACAACCTCACCAGCATTTATTATTGTTTATATTCTTGATCATAGCCATTCTGACTGGAATGAGATGAAATCTTAGTGTAGTTTTATTTTTCTTGTTAGAAGTTTTGCTTGAATGTCCACCGAGCCATGGTTGGATGCCCCTTTTAAAAAGTGATGGTGCAGTCCCCACCAATCTAAAATATGCCATTTATACTATATCTTCCCTTATAGAGATGAGTCTGTTTCTGAATACTGTTTACTGTTGCACTAACATGTTTTCATACCCATACACCAATATACATTGTCTAAACACTCTAAATGTGCAAATAAGTTTTATACTAGAACTAGTTTTCTCAGCTTAATTGTTCTTCATTAATATATTGGCTATTGTTCCTTTTTGATTTGCAACTTAAATTTTAGAATAAGTTTTTCAAGCTACACAAAGAACCTTTTAGGCTTTTTACTAGAATTGTATTAAATCTCTTGATCAATTTGGGGATAAATTTTAATGATATCAAATCTTTCTGTCCTTGAAAATGACATGGCTCTTCATTTTTAAATATCTTTCAATAAAGTTTTATGATTTTCTCCATTAAAAATGGAAAAAAAAGTGACAGTGCAAAAGCTGATTGAATGTTTTAATGGCTACATTGTACCTAGGGGTGCTTGGATAGGTCCAGGCACTTCATAAGGAGCCCAGTGGGTCAGTGTCTGGCTGGGTAGGGCAGGGAGCAGGCCTGGGGTTTCAACTACTCTTTGTTGGATCTCCAGTCAATCTTCCCATTTCTTCTCCACCCTCATCCCTTTTTTCAGAGAAGCCCATGCCTCATTCTAGGGCAAGTGGATATGCTCTGGCTTGTGTTTGTTTTTCTGCATTTCTCTGAGTCCGTCACCAGGTGTCTATCTCCTATCCTCTTGTTCTCTTTATCCTATTGGAATCTGAGTATGGAGTGGAAATAACATAGATTCAGTTCACCTATATTTATATATTCATTTGTTTTTCATTAACAAAATATATGAGACAGACTAATTTCATTTTATAAAGAAGTTTACTTAGCTTACTGTTTTAAAGGCTGAAAATGTAACATCAGACAATTCATTGGTTTAGTCTCCGTAGGGGCCTAATGGCATCAAGGTGGGACCCCATGTGGGAGGAAGAGATCACATTGGGATACAGGAAGCCAGAGACCTGGGTGGGCCAGACTTGCTGTTTTTATAACAATCCTCTCTGGAGAACTATCATAACATGAACCTTGGGGGATCAACAACAGCACCATGTTTAACTAGTTTTACTGGAGTTCCTATTTGTTACATATGAACTAAGTGACTGCTATATGCATTACTGAATCATTTATCTGTGAAAGTCTGCAGGTGACTGGCCAGGCCAGTCATCTAGGCAGCAGCTGGTCCTAGTGAGAAATCCAGTTCTCAGAGATGGTCTCATTGCAGCCCCCTGGTGAACTATTTTCCCCAGGGCAAAGGGTGAGTTAACTCCAGTTTGGTCCTAGGTTTTTGATGCAACCAATACCACCCGAGAGCGGAGAGCAACTATATTTAATTTTGGGGAACAGAATGGCTACAAGGTGAGACCTTTTCACCTCCCCTCCTTGGTTGGGTCATCTGGGGTACCTTTCAGAGTCTCCTGATGCACATAGGGCTTTGGGCTACCATGGTTCCTGAGTATAATTTGGGATGAGAGGTCCTATTTTTTTTTTTTTTTCTCTCTTCCTGGGGTTTTCTTTCCAGGGGGAAAGGAGGTTGTAATGGGAGAGTCCAAGATAAGGCCATACTTTTTTAGCTCTGTGATCCCTGACCCTGATTCCGCCCCCTTGAAAGAAAGGCCTCGGGGCCTGGCTGCTAGTTCACATTGCCCTGGGTGGGGTGGAGAATTCTATGGAAGAAGGCCCAGAGCCTTAAAGATGTTTTCCCTCCTACCAACCCTGGTGCTTCTGGTTTTTGCTGCAGACATTTTTTGTTGAGTCCATCTGTGTAGATCCTGAGGTCATAGCTGCCAACATCGTGGTGAGTGGTGCATTGGGGGCAATAATGAAACAAAAGGTGGCATGTGAGAGTGAGGCCCTTCTTCAGATTTGGGTTGGTTCTGGGCTGACTTTCATTTAATCTTCTTGAACATTTTGGGGGTGGAGAAGTAGTGTAGCTTCCAAAGCTGGGTCACATGAATCTGGACCCCTGAGGACCACTCATGGAAAGCTGTGTGGCTCCTGGGTATTCATTCTTGCTCTTTCCTCCTACCTTCATTCTTGTTCTTTCCTCCTTCTCCCTCCACTCCTCCCTCCATAATCCCCTGGACAGTGGGAGAAGGAGTGGGGATGGGGGTTTTGTTTTCCTAAGGAATGACCATGTGGGCTTGGGGAGATAGGACAGGTTGGGAAAGGCTTATAGGCCTTCCTGGACCAACAAGGTAAGGGACTTCAATCTCAGGGCACTTGTGTGTGAACTCAGAGCAGGGAGGTGCTTGTCTCTTCCTTACGGGAAAATTCCCCTAACTTCTAGCCACAGGCCCCAGCCCTGGCCTGGCCTCTGGCCCAGACTTCCCCATCCCCCTGCCCAGCAGTCTCCTTTATCATCTCTGACTGGCCTTCAATCCTGATATGCCCTTACTCTGTACTTGGCTTCTGCAGCAAGTTAAACTGGGCAGTCCTGACTATGTCAACCGTGACAGCGATGAGGCCACAGAGGATTTCATGAGGCGCATTGAGTGCTATGAGAACTCCTACGAGTCACTGGATGAGGACCTGGACAGGTGAGTGAGGAGAATGCTGTGTCCTCTAGCTACAGTGGGTGAGTGGTAGGGAGTCCTACTTGGTAGCCACCTTGTGGCTCCCCATGGTGGTAGCTGAAGACCACACCAAAAGGCAGAGATGGTCTGACCTTTTTTGTTTCTTTTCTTGGGGCAGAAATTGTTGGCCAGAGGTGACTTGTAGAACACCTGGTAGCTCTTCTGGATCTCTGCGAGTCAGGATTTCCTATTATTCTACCATAAAACCAAATCTAATTTTTGTGCAGAGAGTCTTCTTACAAGGCATTTGTAAACATTATATACTGTTCTTTCAATTTGCAATCTATTTTGGGGAGAGGAGGGAGACCCAGACCCTGCCTGTGAACAGTGGGCAGCAATCAGTGCTTGTTAGCTCCACTTGCCTTCCTCTGGAATGGAAGAGCAAGCAGGACTATTGAGTGGCAAGGGGTCTTTAGGTCCATAAGGGGCATGCAATGGAGGATCTTATAGCTGGGATCAGCAAGCATTTTCTGTAAAGGGTCAGATAGTGAATATTTTATTTAGGCTTTGGAATGTGTCTAGTCTCTGTTCCAGTGACTCAGCTCTGCCATTGTAGTACAAAAGAAACAGTATGCAAATAAGCAGGTGTGTTCCAGTAAAAGTTTATAAAAACAGCCTATGGCTGCATTTGAATTGCTGACTCTAGTTTGCCAACTCCAGTTTCTTCACATAAATGGGCAGTGGTTAAGTAAATAACAGTGTAGCCCTTGGTAAAATATTACATAGTAACTGTCAATCATAATTATGGAGAGGCATGGCAGAATATATGTTGTGTAACATTAAGTGGAAGGCTGAAATATAGATGTGTGCCCAGGTCCTGTATAATCATATAAGAATATATAATGCATATGAACTAAGGAACACAAGCAACTGTTAGAGGGATAGTTTCTGGAAATGTTTATAGAACAGTCAGTTCTGGACAGGCCCTGGCCTGAGGCATCTCTCTTTTGTCTACTGGGCTCTAGAAACCAGCCCAGATCTGGATAGAGCTAACGGCCCTTTGGGCCTCTCTGTAGCTTTCGTTTTGCCTCAGGTTTCCCCAGCACATATTTCGCCTCCTTGTCCTATGATGCAACTGTACATAGGGGCTCCTCTAGAGCAGCTCCTATTAGATTTTTCAGGAAACATTGCTGTTTTTGTTGGTAATGTTAGAGTAATAACCCTAAACTGAGGCCCCATGGACTAAACAGAATTCAAATGTGAATATCCAGAGGCCTCTTAGGTGGATCACAGCCTGTCCCTACCCCTGCCAGCATAAGTATGTTCTCCAAGCTTTAGGGTCATATAGGTCTAAACCAGAGAAAGTAACTGAGCTGGGTTTATCAGCTGCTACCACCAAGACCATCCTTCTGTGTTTCTTGTCTTGTCCACCAGCTGTCTGATGTAGGGTGTGGCAGCTGCTTGGTATATATAAATGACCTGGACTGGGTTCTTCGGGGAGGGGTTTTCTGGAGGAAGCAAAGCTGACCAGGAAGCATGGGGAGCTTTTGCATTTGCCAGCTACTCCCAGGTCAACCCTTGGGAAAATTGTCTCTTGTTTCAACTTACAGACGGTGTATTGAGAGCTCAGAGGTAGGGAAGAAGGGACCTGGGGGACACATGAGCAGCAATAAAAGTCATGATGTGGTATGACTGGCCACTGCTTTGGATGTCACCTTTGTAAGCATGATTAGTGTTGAGCACTTCTCACTGGACTTGTCTGTGTGTCATATGTGGTATGTTGCTCCTGCCTCACCCTTATTACTTGCACACCAGCTAATGGTCCTGAGTGCTGTGATCTCATCTTGTTGGTTGAAGATGTAAGGCCTTACAACTGGGTCCTGTGGCTGGCCAGTGTGCCTTCTAAGGTCCCTGGCCACACTCACAGGCCTCTCTCTACCTTCTCTCTGGAAAGGGATCTGTCCTATATCAAGATCATGGACGTGGGGCAGAGCTACGTGGTGAACCGTGTAGCTGACCACATCCAGAGCCGAATCGTATATTACCTCATGAACATCCATGTGACTCCCCGTTCCATCTACCTCTGCCGGCATGGGGAGAGTGAGCTCAACCTCAAGGGCCGGATCGGTGGGGACCCAGGACTATCCCCCCGGGGCAGGGAGGTCAGTGTGTATGTACCTGCCCATTGGTACCTCTGGGTGGCTGGATATTCTGTATATGTGTGTGTACTATGATTGGGCTTCTGTGCAATTGAGGTTCATGACCTTCATTCAGTCTAGAATATTTCTATCCTGTAGGGAAGGTCATCAGTCACCTAGCAAATGCCTAGAACTCTGGTCTCCATGTGAGCTGTCATTAGCTGAGCCCTTTTTCTGGCAGAGTTCTACAACCCTTGGAGTGACATGAGCCCCAGCAGTGCTGAAGGGTTGGGGGGCTGATAGCTGTGCCATAGTCTAGAGGGATATTGAGGCCTCAGCAGGAAGATCATGTGGCCTAGGGCATATGGACTGGGGTGGGAGGATCAACAAATCATGGCTGAAACTGCTTTCAGGGCCTGGGGAGAGTGCCCTAGAATATTGCTTGTAAGTCTATGTCATTGGGAGTTCATGTTTTTTACTAAACCTGTGTTCTCTGAGGCTGAGCATGATCCCATGGACCCTATGGCTATAGGATCCTTTTAGGGCAACCCAGGACCTACAGGTCTGAATTTGCCTGTGATATGTTTCAGTTTGCAAAGAGTCTGGCCCAGTTCATCAGTGACCAGAACATCAAGGATCTGAAGGTCTGGACGAGCCAGATGAAGAGGACGATCCAGACAGCTGAGGCACTGGGTGTACCTTATGAGCAGTGGAAGGTTCTCAATGAGATTGATGCGGTAATTACCATCCTTTCCTTGCCCTGCCTGTTTCCAGAGCACAGTGCTAAGTGTCAGGGAAAACTTTCTCTTTAATTTACTTCATTGTTTTTTTGACTCCCCCTTCTCTTACATTTAAACGAACTAGATTAATCAAAATTCATTTTTTAAAATGTTTATTTATTTTTTAGTTATAGGTGGACACAATATCTTTATTTTATTTTTATGTGGTTCTAAGGATTGAATCCAGTGCCCCATGCATACTAGGCGAGCACTCTACCTCTGAGCCATAACCCCAGATTTATTTTGATGTTCTGATAAAAGCTTTAAATCTGTTTTTCCCCAGTTAATTCATTTGCCTGTAGCCATTTAAAAATTTTTTTTTGAAGTGCAGAAGAAACAGTATACATCTACAACAGAAATTGTAGATGGACAGAATACCATCCTTTTATTTGTTTTTTTTATGTGGTGCTAAGGATAGAACCCAGTGCCCCACACATGCTAGGCAAGTGCTCTGCCACTGTGCTACAGCCCAGTCCCACCTATAGCCATTTATCTATACTTTTTCTATCAATTTATTTTACTTAATTTTATATTAAGTTCTTACATATATGTATCTTTTTATCACATTATTTTAATTATAGTAGTTTCTGCTGTATTTTTTGGCTCTTTGGAAGCTTATGTGAGATCTTTTGCTTTTTTTTTTTTTTCTTTTACATTGTCTACCTTTTCCTTTTTCTTTTCTTTTTTCTTTCTGTACTAGGAATTGAATCCCGGTCTTTGTACATGCTAGGCAAGTGCTGTACTGCTGAGCTACATCCCAGCCCTTTTTAAAGTTTTATTTTGAGACAGGGTCTCACTAAGTTGCCCAGGCCAGCTTCAGACTTTCAATCTTCCTGCCTCAGCCTCCTGAGTAGCTGGGATTTCAGCTATGTACTACCTTGCCCAGCTCTTTTTCTTATTGATTTTTAGGAGTAATTTATATGTTTTGGATTTAATGCATACCTGGTAATTTTTGATTGAGTGCTGGACATTTTGAAGAATAATTATGGAGATAATTTGAGATTTTAGTTTATGTTATCTTTCTCCAGAAGATTTATTTTTACTTCTGGAAGGCAGTTAGTGGATCACCTTAGTTTAGTCAGGAATAGAGTTGTTTCAAAGTGGTACTTTGGTTTCTGTGGAGGCTACTCAATTTTGAAGTCACTCTTATTGTTGGAGTGTAGTCTTTAAGGTTCTCACTGAAAACCCTAGGGGCCCAGCCTTTTTTGTTGTTGTTGTCTCTTTGGCCCAAGACTGCTGAAAGCTCTACTAAGCTTCTGCTCAGTTCTTATTTTCTGCTTGGCTTCTTACCTTTCAGCTTCCACTTTCAGATTGGCAAAATCTAAAAGAAAAAGTGATACTTATCACATATCAACTTCACCTCTTTAGACCTCCCTTTGCTCTAAGATCTTGACCTCTCAAGTCCTCTCTATCTTGGTAACTCTATGATGATATCAAACAGATTAAAAAAAATTTTTTCTCTCTGGTTTTTCTAGTTGCTCTTGTTTCTAGTTGGTTGAAACAAGCTAGTTTTCCATTGCCTGAAGCAGAAGTCTCTAACAGGATCAGATTTGAATCTTAGAAAGATCACCTCAACTCATGTTGAGAATGTTTTTGTTGGAGTGAAGTGGGAGATGAGCTGGGGAAGGAGACCAGTTGGAGCACTTGAGTGGATTGGTAAGGTGTTTACATCTAAAACTTGGGTGATGACAGTGATAGAGGGAGGAATGGATGGATTTGAGGGATGTTTATTCATCCTTCAAACTTATGTGAGCCCACCCTGTGCCAAGGAACTATGGCCAGGTTCTCAGGACCAGGACCAGAGAGGGAAGTGGTAGAACTTGTGGGGATAAAGGGAAAAAAGTATCCAGGATGACTGTAGGTTTCCAGTCACTGGGATGAATTCTGGAGCAAGGAAAATGATGAACTCACACTAGAGCAAGCTGTCTTTTTCTTTACCCACATGGTAGATGCTCAGTAAATATGCACTGAATGAGAGAAAGGAATTCCTGGGAAATATTAAAAAACAGATACCTAAGAGACAGTTTGATCTCTTAAGAGAGAGTTGAGCTTGTTCATCTCCATATAGGCATGATACTTGAGATTGTGGAATGGATAAGAGGGTAGAAGGAGACGAAGCAGGGCTCAGGAAAAAGTCCTGGGAAACCTCAACATTTAAGGGTTAAGGAGAAGCCTTTAAATAGCCATCTAATGAAGTGGAAGAGAAACCAAGCTGATGGGATCCTTTGGAAATCAAGGCAGAAAGAAGGACACAGTATCAGGGAGGGCTGATACTTGGGAATGAGGCACTGAGGTCAGGCTCCAAATTAACCACTTGTATGTCAACAGTGTCACCAGGCTTCTTGATATGAGCTTGGTGGGGCTGGAGCCCTGTGGGAATGGGTGGGAAGTGAATGGATGGCAAGGAGGCTCAGAGGTGAACCTGGCCAGGTATAAGCTGACAAGGTATGGCTGGTAGAAAGGGAGAGAGTGGAGGCTCAAGGGACCCTGAGAGGTTCCAGAGGCCCAGATTCCTGAGTAACAGGAGGGGAGGAGGGGAACGTGGGCACAGAAAAATTTGATGTCTTTTTCCTTAGAGTCTAGCTCTGTCTGGTTATTCCCAGTCCACCCAAAACTCATAGCCAGATTTTTTTCTACTCTAGTAAGTTTCCAGTTGATTTTTGTGGATTTTCTTGAGGAGCTATTATCTGAAATAAGGATAATCCAGATTTTTCCTTCCTAATTTAGGTATCTTGTGTTTCTGTTTCATATTATTACATTGGCAAGAGTATGTGATGAGCAGTGTACATGTTCTTTTTGTTGCTTAATTTTTTTTTTTTTTTTAGAGAGAGAATTTTAATATTTATTTTTTAGTTTTCGGCGGACACAACATCTTTGTTTGTATATGGTGCTGAGGATCGAACCCGGGCCGCACGCATGCCAGGCGAGCGCGCCATCACTTGAGCCACATCCCCAGCCCTTTCGTGCTTAATTTAATGGACCTGTCCTTTAGGCTTCCATCCTTTGGAAAGGTGATAGATGACTGAGATGATTCTGTCCTGATTTATTTTAAAATTTTTTTATAGGGAATTTCAGTTATACATAAAGATCAAGAGAATATTATGATGAAGAATACCAACTTCAACATGTTCAACATATGTGTTTAATCTCCATCCCCCCAAATCCAGGCAGAATGTTTCAATTCAGTATATATCTCTAGAAATAAATTAAGGACTTTTTTCTCATTACTGTAACTGTATTGTCATTATGAAACCTCAAAAAAAAAATTCCTCTGATTGTCTTATAAAATTTTTTTATAGTTGTTTTGTTTAAATTAGAACTTAAATCAGAAATCTTGTCATTTGTAGCAATATGGATGAGCCTAGACGACGTCATGAAAAATGAAATAGTCCAGCCACAGAAAGGCAAAGGTCACATGATCTCATTCATACATGGAATATATTTTTTTAATATCTTTATTTTGTTTTTATGTGGTGTTGAGAATCGAACCCAGTGCCTCAACGCATGCTAGGCGAGCACACTACCACTTGAGCCACATCCCCAGCCCAATATGTGGAATCTTAAAAAAAGTGATCTTATAGAATAAGAACAGAGGATCCAGGCTGGAAAGCGGGTGGGAGAGAAAAAGTGTGAATCATGGGTACTGAAACACATTAGGTAGAAATAAGTTCTGTTCCACAAAACAATAGGATGTGATAGTAGTTAACAACTGTATATTTCAAAATAGCTAGAGAGAATTTTGAATGTTCCTAACACAAAGGAATGATAAATGTTAGAGGTGATGGATATGCTAATTACTCTGATTTGATCATTATACACTGTATATATGTGATGAAATATCACACTAGTCTCCATAAATAAGTACATGATTATGTGTCAATTAAAATTTTTTTTAAAAAGAACTTAAATCAAGTCAACATATTGCATGTACACAGTGTCCTTTTTTTTTTTTTTTTTTTTTTTTTAATTTTTTTGGTACTGGGGATTCAACCCAGGGGTGCTTTACCACTAATCCACATTCCCCAGCCTTCTTTTATATTTTATTTAGAAACATGATCTTACTGAGTTGCTTAGAGCCTCACTAGGTTTCTGAGGCTGGCCTTGAACTCATGATCCTTCTGCCTCAGCCTCTGGAGTTGCTGAGTTTACAGGCATGTACCACCATACTCCACATTTTTTTTAAAGAGTTTTAAAAATCATTTATTGAGGTAATATTTTTCCTCATTGGACCTATTGATAATGAAACATTATTTTCTAGTATCAGATCATTGTATTCTTAGAGTAAACCTTAATTGATTGTGATAAGTTATTCTTGAACTTGATTTTATGTGGGTTTGTTTCTTGGGATCATATCTGGGACCTCACACATGAGGCAAACACTCTTCCACTGACCTACCTCTCCAGCTTTTTTATTATTATTATTATTATTATTATTATTATTATTATTATATGTTTTTTAATTTTTCTACTTAGTTGTACATAACAGTAGATCCATCCCTTTTTTATAAATTTTATTTTGAGACTGGGGCTCACTTAGTTGCTCAGGTTAGCCTAGAAACTGTGATCCTCCTGCCTCAACTTGGGATTATAGGCATGTACCATTATGCCTGGCTTAGGCTAGGCCTTCGTACTTTGAGATAATTGTTTGATAATAATTAAAATTTACTCATTAGTCCATTCTTTAAAAACATATTCTTGAGTCATCTTACCTCCAGAACTGTTTGAAACATATGACAGAGTTGAAAGACTTATGGGAATACCTGTATATCTACTGTATTATTTTTCTGTTGCTACATAACAAATACCAAAAACAGTATTTTCAAACAATACACATCTATTATTTCACAGTTGCTGTAGGTCAGGAGCCTGACAAAGTGTGGCTGAGTTCTTTGCTAAGGTTTTTACCAGGCTACACTCAAGGTGTTGGCTATGGTGTCCATCTCATTTGAGGCTCAGGA